GAATAAAGTGCATGGGAATATCATTATGCCATTTATTTATTTATTTCGATACAGGAGATTGAACCCAGGGACACTTTACCACTGAGCTATATCCCAGTCCTAATTATCTTTTGTGTGAGGACAGGGTCTTAACTAAGTTACGCAGGCTGGCCTCGAACTTTTGATCCTCCTCTCTCAGCCTCCCAAGTAGCTAGGATTACAGCTGTGTGCTATCATTCTTGGCTATGCCATTTATTTATAGCAATAAATCAACTATAATTTATTTTTAAAATAAGCTATTCAATATTTTTATAGTAAGCCTATAATAAATTGTTGGCCATATAATTTACCACAGATCATGATACACTGCTGTGTTCCTGACCAACAGCAAGTGTGGGAAAACCATAGTACACAAGCCAAAACCAGCCTGCTTCCTGTTTTTGTTCAGCTTGCAAAGTTAAGAATGGGTTTCACAATTTTAAAGGGCTTTTAAACATCAAAAGAACATTTGTGACATGTGAAAATGATATGAAATTCAAATTTCTGTGTTAATTAAGTTTTGTTGGAACATGGCCATGCTCATTTATTTACATGCTGTCTATGGCAGAATGGAACAGCTGAGTGAGACACAGAGTGCAAGGTTGAAAATGCTTACAGCCCAGCTACACAAAAATTTATCAAACCCTGGCTAGAGCTAAGTGGTAACCTCAGTGGTAATATCTATTAAGACAAAATCCTAATATAGATATTAACCTTTAATACAGAAATAGCAGAAAATTCCATCTAGGATAGAAGGAAATCCATCCCTAACTTGTCCAAACTTTCTAAATTCTTTAATGACAAAAGGCAACCCAACACAATTAAATATAGCTCCTACATTTTATCTGAAATCATGTTTATAAATTCACCTTTGAGACTAGAGTAGAGCAATAAAAGGGCATTGGAGACAGGCCTGGTGACACCGTCTATAATCCCAACTTTTGGGGAAGCTGAGGCAGGAGGATCACAAGTTCAAGGTCAGCCTCTGCAATTTAGCAAGGCCCCATCTCAAAATAAAAAACAAAAAGTGAGAGGGATATAACTCAGTGGTAGAGCACCCCTGCGTACAATCCCCAGTAGCACAAAAAATAAAAAGGTCATTGGATTCCAAGCGAGAATATAGACTTAGGTTTTAGGCAGGTCACTTTTTAAAATAAACTAAGATAAATACATTCGTCCCATTTTGCCTAATGTGTATAGTATTTTTTAATTTAATTTTTAATTTAATTTTTTTTTATTTAATTTTTTAAAAAATTCATTCTGGGGCTGGGGTTGTAGCTCAGTGGTAGAGCAATTGCCTAGCATGTGTGAGTCACTGAGTTTTATCCTCAGCACCACATGAAAAAATAAATAAATAAACTTTTTTTTAAAATGCATTCTACTGTCATGTTTAACTAATTAGAACAATTTTTTTTTAATTGTGAGAAAAAAAGCACTAAAACGACTGGTAAAGTAATCAAAATGTTTTTAAGCAGGAAAGAAAGTTAATACAAAATAAAATGTACTTCTTTTCCCAATATAACTATAAATAGTCCTCCTATTCAATGTAAATTACTAAAATGGAAAAAAAGGCACCTAGTTCAGTTGAATATGGGTAGCAGGTTTCACTGAATACAACTTTTAGTGAATCCACATGAAGGTGCAGGAAATCCTCACCCCCCCAGTGCCTTTGCTGTTTCCTTGTAATATAAATGCATGGATTAAATGCTCTCTAAAGTCCTTACCAGCTGTGGTGATTTATGCCAAATGACTAGCCTCATTTTTTTTTCATCTGTAAAATTGGATTAATAATTGAATCTTCCTATGGTCGTGAGGATTAAATGGGTTAATCTACATAAAGTGCTTAGAACAGCACTAACCACATTCAGCTATTTACAATTATTCCATTCAGGCATTTGGGGGAAAAAAAAGAATGGAAGGAATCAGTCTATAGAGTTTTAATTTTAGCATGTCTATCAACTGATGATTCTCTGAGATGACGGACAAATACTATTCTGCCTCCCTAGTCTGTGTGAATTTTTACTTCTGCACAATGATTATTGTGTTAAAATGTCAACTAGGCTGGATGTAGTGGTATGCCTCTAACCCCAGTAACTCAGGAGGCTGAGGCAGTAGAATCATAAGTTCAAGGTCAGCCCAGGCAAATTAGCAAGAACCTGTATCACAATAATTTTTTTTTAAAGGGCTGGGAATGTAGCTCAATGGTAGAGTGTTTAATTTGTATGACCCTCTAGGTTCAAAACCCAATTCTGTGGGGAGCCGAGGAGTCAACTAATGTTCACTGTAGGCAAATTATTAGCACTGTTATTAAGGATCTTCCCATTTCTGTTTCAAAAGACAAAGCTCAGCTGGGCATGGTGGTGCACACCTGTAATTCCAGCAGCTTGGGAGGCTGAGGCAGGAGGATCACAAGTTCAAAGTCAGCCTCATCAAAAGCGAGGCACTAAACAACTCAGTGAGACCCTGTCTCAAAATACAAAATAGGGCTGGGGATGTGGCTCAGTGGTCGAGTGTCCCTGAGTTCAATCCCCAGTACCAAAAAAAAAAAAAAAAAAAAAGTTCAGCATTTGATAAAATAATAATTTATGGTTTGAATTGAAGATAGAAGAATAAAAAAATGTTGGCCAGTCTGGTAAAGTATATGAAATACATGTCTTTTGAACCAAAGATGATATGCTGTCACACCATAGCTTCACCTATTTATTTTTTTCCACGCATGTTTGCTGAGTACTTACTGTGGAGCAGTGTCTGCTCAGTGATGAGTAATGAGAAACAGACCCTGCATTAGGGAATCAGCAGGGAGGGCAAAGTCAGTGATTAAAATGAAATATGGTGAGTGTTATGAGGAGGAAGCCCCTGGAGGCTATGGGAGCACTGGGTAGGGACCTAACCTACGTCCAGGGGACTGGAGGAAGAAGTAACTAAGGTGAGACCTGAAAGATGAGTGGCTGTTCATCATACACAGGAGGCAAAGAGTGAGTGAACATGGGACGTGTGACAGAGTGGGCAGGTCTGAAGAACCCAGAGTCCTTCAGTCTTGCTGGGACTTAGTGATGGAGAGCAGCAGGGGATGATAGCAGAGCTCACCAACTTTGTGTTTTACCTTTGGGCAAGGAGAAGTCACTGGAAGTGTTAAGCATAGACATGCAAAGCCATAAGCAAAGGAGTGAATTAGTGAAATAAGTAGTTTGGTTTGAAATGTAAGTGGAAGGATTCTCCACTCATTTTTTCCTGCTACTCACTGAAGTCTCTTTTTTTGTTTTAATCTATTTATAGATCAATTATTATACACATAAGAGAGTGAAATACAAAAATATTTGCCTTCTTATTTACAATGTGGGTTCCCGCATACTCAATATCCTTACTCCTAAACCACCATTAGAGCTGAGAAGGTGACACACAGGCCAGGCTCAGCCACCACCACCCAGGAAGGGCTTATTGAGGTCTTGGTAGTCAGGTGTCATCATGGGCTTGAATCTGGAGCTCCATCGTTCACCTGATGTCATTTTATTTCTCCCTGTCTGCAGTGAGGGGTGTTTCTCCTCTATCTCTTGGAAGCACTTGCTAACTGTGAGATGTCCCAAAGCATCAAGGTCTTCCTTCTTTTGGTTCAGGCCCAGAAGAATGTGAAAGCTTTCCCCACAGGCAGCCTTTCACCTCTGACATATATCTCAAAGGTGGCTTTAGAGATCACAATCTCCAGTGCGATTTAAACACAAAGTCATAGCCAGCAACTGGGGCAAGTCAGAGGACTCTAGAACACCACGCGGAAGTGCCTCTCAGTAGTGTGACTGTGCCCACAGACCCCTCTTGTCTAGTGGGCGGTTAGCACAGACGTTAGGAACAAAGGTATACTTGGGCTTCTTTTTAAAAAAAGGAAACACATTACATCAAGGCATTGTTATGAATGATGCTGACTGCCAGACCAATTCACAAGCCTGAACATTTTGAATGAATACTTTGGGTGAATTCATTTTATGGGTCATTTTCCCATTTTCTAATTTAAAAAAATCTTTTTTTATTGGCTCCAAATCTCTAAAATCCCCCCAAATATTCATATAGTATTAAAATGACTTAAATTTTTAGTAAGATAATTTGTCTATTATAACACATACCTAATCATGCTGACATACTTAATCATGTCTGTTAACAACGCATACTTTAATGCATGCTGACTTTGACAACAGAATTGGCAATAAGAACAGATGAATACCTTCATTTACAAAATATAATAGTAGAATAGTCCAAATTCTAACTAAGAATACCCATTTTTTTAACCATTAAAATGATTTGGCATCAGGAACATTCACAGTTCTGTTTGTAACCTTTTTCAAACAGCTATTAAAAATGTTTGCTTATAGCTACACTCTGAGAAGAAATCAAATAGGTATGAACAATTTTCATATTATTGTAACCTTCCCCATCCTTCCCATCAGCTGTGTACACATCTAAAAGCACTTATGTTCTACAGAAATTTGCTCAAAAGACTGACCGTGAACTTGTGATACCCAGGGAGGTTCTCTTTAGTAATACTCAAGGTAACTCTCTTGGGCTGTAATACTCAGTAAAGATTGTCCAGAGACATGATTTCTGTGCCTAGCTCTTCTCTACCTTGCTAAGTGTTATTTAACCAAATAACCAAGGTACATGGCATGTGAGTCATAAATGAGCAGCTTTTCTCGATCTCAAATCTTGCTAAGATGGTCATTTTAATTTTTCATCAAGCCAACACAGAGATCTTGTGAGACTCAAATAAGAAAACATATTTGAAATTGTTTACGAAAGTTTTAAGTACTTCCCAAAAGTAGGATCATTATTAAACAACCCTCTTTGACTACAAAAGAAGTTTATTCTTTCTTCCAAAAAGCTGAAATCATGAGTTTTTAAATAACAGAAGCTAAAATTATACTGGATATTTTTAAAAAATATGTTTATACTAAAGACTTTCCAATCCATTGACTCTGCTGGCCTTGCAGCTATGGCTAAGGGGTTCCCATCAATAAGTAGAAGGTCAGGGCAACAATGAGAAGCAAGCAGAACGGAGATGAGAAGGTCTGATAGGCAGCTGACGGCATAAAAATGTCTTCATACTTGTAAATACTGACAACGCGCTCTGAAGCCGGTGGAGAGTCTATGTCATGGCGGGTGATAGAGCCTTTAAGAAAGAAATAGAAGGGGAGGAGCAACTGAAAAAAAGTACAGATTTAAAACAGTATAGGAAAGCAACAGAAATAGTAAAGACAAGCCTTCAATGTGCAACGTGCACACAGTGATTGTAACAATCTGGAATCAGGATCACCATCAGAATTCTCTATAATTTATTATGAGGAACACAGAAATCAGCTAAATTTATCCAAAAATGATTGGCTCCTATTAATCTTCTCCCCTCCTTTAACAGATCAATGGTATTGGTCTGTCTGTGGCTTCTCTGTTTTAGGGCTGCTATTTAGACACCATAGTATGAAAACATGCTTAACCCCAAGTGCAAAAGGTGAATATGGGTTTCATCTTTAATGACTTTCATCTTCTTAGCAACAGGATTCCAAACAGCAAAGGCTACTAATTTTTTCCTCTCAAATCTCTCTTATGTGTGAGTCATCGATAACTCCTGGTGACACAGCAGTCTCCCTTAAGGTGGTAGCCCTTGCAGGACCTATAGAGGCAGCGTGCCTCAGCTGAGCCAGAGTGGGTACATGTCCATGTGAGTCTGTGTGTCTGTCTGGCAGAGTAGGGAAGAATGGTGCAGAAAGTAAGAAGACTAAGATACCAAACAAGTCTGGGGGTGGAAAACTTTATGACCTAATTACCAGAGGGCAGAAGGAAAGGCTGTGTTATAAAAGATTGTTAATGGCTGAGGGTATAGCTCAATGGTTCAGCACTTCCCCCACATCCCCTGGATCCCATCCCTGGTACCATAATAAATGAACATATACAGATGCACATGCATACATAAAAGATGATTAATAAGCAGGGTGTGCATCCACAGCCCCAGCCACTGGGGAGGCCAAGGTAGGAGGACTTCTTGAGTCCAGGAGAGTGAGGCCAGCTAGGTAACACCTGAGACCCTATCTCTTAAAAAAAAAAAAAAAAAAAAAAAGACATAACAAGCAGAAGTTGATTAGAAGTGACTGACCTTCTGAAAAATCCAAATGAAACTTGGGTTAGAGAAACTAAGCCATATGAACTCAGTGCAGAAATCTCTTTTTAACTAAGGCTCAAGTGAGGGTTTTTAACATAATCACTACTAGGGAAGCCCAGCCAAACTTGACATGTGAAGTCTACTCCAGCCCTGGCTCCTGTCAGCACAAACACCTAGAGTCGGCACAGAGATTCTCCCTTCCACGGGGCCCTCAGCTCTCCTACTTAACCTCACCTCATTGGTCACCTGCATGGGCTCCTAAACTTAGCAGAGCACCTCTGGCCTCCCTTGGGATAAATCTAATCCACACCCTTTCCATCCTTAGCTCAGTTTATCCCTGCTCAGAGAATGGAAAGAATTTGGCCACTATAAGGGCATTACAAGGGCATTCAGGAAACAAGAGGAGCCCAAATGTGTACACAGAGCAGGAACGTGCCTGTTGTGCTTGAGAAGAACAGAAGACTTTTTTTTAAAAAAAAATATTTTCAGCTGTAGATGGACACAATACATTTGTTTTATTTACTTATTTTTCTATAGTGCTGAGGATCGAACCCAGTGCCTCACACAAGCTAGGCAAGTGTTTTATCACTAAGCTACCAGCCCAGCCCGAGCCCAAGTCTTGAAAGAGCTTATCAGGAAAAGTCAGATGGACTCAGAGAGGACTTTGAACACCAGGCTAGGATGCCAGACACCTAGGAAGATGACCCTCTGCAAATGCAGTAGTGCCCCGATCTGTGTTTTGTATTCTGTGGCTTCAGTTGCCCATAGTTACTCAGGGTCCAAAAATACAGGAAAAGATTTAAGATATTTTGAGAGAGAGTGAAAGATCACATTTATATAACTCTTATTACAGTATATCATTACAATTATTCTATTTTCTATTATTATCGTTGTTAATCTCTTATGGTGCCTAACTTATAAATTATGTATAGGGAAAAGCCTGTATATATGGAGTTTCTGGTATCCAGCAGGGATCTTGGAACACAGTCCCTGCAGATAAGGGAGGAATACTGTACAGCACTTTTCAATTTATAAAGCCATTTCAAATGCTTGTTTTCATTTAATCTTTTCAATAATCCTAGGAAGCAGGTATTATTATTATCCCCACTTTAGATATAAGGAAATGAAGTTCAGAATTTAGATAATAGGCTAAATATTATATAGCTATACCAAGGGCAAAATCAATACTCAAACTCAAATATTTTAGGCTCCAAATCCCACCACTTTAAATGAGTTCATTTCTCCAGACTGAGATATAATTTATTTCCCAGGGTACTGGAAGTACTTGAAGGCATCATTGCAGATCCACTGTTGGTAATATGGGAAATCAGCAAATGAAAAAGGTGTCACATATGGTGAGAGGCTTCTAAGTGTTTTCCCACTTGGCAACAGGCAAAGAAATGTGGGTCATGCCATCTCCAAAATGATCAATGCACACAAACTGATGGAAATAAAACAAGATCAGATGAAGCAAGGAAGAGTCGCCAGGCGCACAGTGAAGAAAGGTGCTGTCACCAGGAGCCAGAGTGAGTTCTCTGCACCAGGACTGCAAACCAAAGCCACCCTCTCCCAGTCAGGCCACTAGCCTGGTCAACCAGGAAGAAGGCTCAAGACACCGTGTCACTGGACTTCAGTGGTCTCTAAAGGGTCTTGTGGTGTTCTTGGATCTCTCCTGGGGAAATGCTGAAGAGCCTTCCCTACTAAAGTGAGGTCATCCATGGATCAGCATCTCCAGGAAGTTTGTTAGAAATGCAGAAGCTCAGGCCACACCCCAGACCTGCAGGAGACTGCATCTTAACACTAAAACCAGGGAATTCCCATGCATACGAATATTTGAGGAGTAACAGGCTACATTATAGGGTAATTTGGTGGATTTGTGACCACCAGAAGAGTCACAAAGGGACCAGTAATGAAATACTTGCTGTCAAGCTCCAGACAACTCTCCCAAAGCCCTTTCCTTCAATACTTTTCTCTTTCAAGGATGAGTTAAGGGCAAGCACTAACTGGAGTCAGACAGACAGGACTGGATTTCAGTTCTTCCACCAGTTAGGGGCATTGCCTTGAGTAAATTTCTAAATCTCTCAAAAACGAGAATAACAATATCTAGACCTCTGTAGGATGTGTGGTGAGGAATAAATGGATTTGTTGTGAGGATTAAATAGCCCACACCCGCCACAGGGAAGACACGGGATCTATTTGTTAAGCACACAGCCCACCCTGCGCCAGCTAGCTTGTCCTTGCAGCTTGTCATTTGTCTGTGCATGTCATAAGACTGTATAACCTACCAAAGATAGGGGTTGCCTCTCCTGTTTCTTTTGTATTATTCAAAGTGCTTACAGCTCTCTTGCTTACACAGTGTGACTTCAATTCATAATGAACACAAGCACAGTTGTGTCTGGTGCTTAATGTGGAGGCTGAAATATAAGCTTACCCTGAATGGCTGGGCCCCAGGCAAATAGGTAATACCAACTCAAATGCAGATCCACGATCGTTTCATCTCTGGGAACATTCACAGGACGTTTGAACCGGCAAGTGACACGATTGTTCTCGAAAACTCCTTCTTCATCTCTGGCAGGATTTCTCTGAATCTCTTTTGCCCACTGGCCCACGTTATAGAAGTGCTGTATGCGGACCCTGCCATTGTCATCGTGGACACAGGCCATGACATCGTCACCACCCTGACACGGAAAATGAGTAAGATGATAAAGTCGACGGTTTGTCTTTTGGGTACATTTCACTCAGAAATATACAGTCCATCCCTTCTATAACTTGAAATCCCATCAAAAAATTATTTGAGGCTGGGGGTGTTGTTCGTGATAGACAAATGCTTAGCTCATGTCTGGGGTGGGGGGGGGTCAATTACCAGCAGAAAAAAAAAATCATTTCAAATGCCATTAAAAAATTTGAACCAAGTGACCAAAGTCAGCATCACCATAACTGACATCAAGTGCCTCCTGATGCACATAGGTACATTATCACCTATGTACAAGAAATTTTCTTGCCTAAAACATATCAACTAATCTAATAATGAGAAAACAATCAGACAAACCCAAATTGAAGATCACTCTGTAAAAAGAAAAAAGAAAAACTAGTCTATATAATCTTCAGAAGGGTTGTTATGAAAGACTCCACAAACAAATTAATTATTAGTTAATTAATAAGTTGCGGAGGCTGGCTTTGGATTTGTGATCCTCCTGCCTCAGCCTCCCAAGCCACTGGGATTACAGACCTGTGTCACCGTCCCTGGCCTGAGCCTCCTAATCTTAATAGCCCTACCATTCCAGGACAGGAAGAGGTCCCTCCTCATGGGAGCCAGCTTCTGGGCAGGACCACACCTGCTGTTTCTCCAGTGGGAGAGAGGTACCCCCTGCATTTGTACCCATGGAGTCTTACCAGATGCATCCACTGTCCTACTGCCTGGACTGGAACCGGTGGAGGTTCATTCTGCTGGTGACCTCGAGAAGAACAAAACTACCAGGGTGGCCACCCACTGACACTGCCCCCTCAGTCTCTTTGTATCCTGTAGCACCAGCCTTAGCAAATCCCATCCCTACTGGTTTCAACATCCAAAACCGGAGCCCTCCTCACCATCACCATGGCTGGAACCCTGGTAGGAGACACCCTCACAGTAGGCAAGGTGAAGAGAAGGGGGCAGGCCCTCTAGACAATGGCAGCCACAGGTGCAAAGGCCCAGGAGCCTGAGAAAGTCGGATGGTGTTGCACTTTAGATATGTGGTGTCCCCCAAGAGCTCATGTGTGACACAGGGCGAGAAGGTTCAGAGGTGAAATGATTGGGTTATGAGAACCTTAACCCGATCAGTGAATTAATGCCCTACTGGGGATTCATTGGGTGGTAACTGGAGGTGGGTAGGATGAGGCTGGATGAGATGGGTCATTGGGGACGTGCCTTGGCGGTATATATTTTGCATCTGGGGAGTGGAGTCTCTCTACTTCCTGATCATCATGTAAGCCACTTCCCTACACCATGCTCTTTCACCGTGATGTTCTGCCTCACCTTGAGCCCCAAGGAATGGAGCCAGCTGTCTATGGATTGACACCTCTGAAACCATGAGCCCCCAAATAAACTTCTCCTCCTCTAAAACTGTTCTTGTCAGGTCTTTTGGTCCCAACAGTGAAAAAGCTGACTAAAGCAGATGGTTTGGGAAGGAGCCTGGCACAGTGGTGGGGCTCAAGAAGAAAGAGGAAAGAAGTCAGCTGAGCCATGGAGGTGAGAGAGACCATGGCCTGGCCTTCCAATGCCTGCCTCTACGTGTCAGTCCTTCCTAAGGTCTGGGAGTTTTCTGGCCAGTGGATATTTTGAAGGACTGAATTGTTGGACCCAATTCTCCACTGCCCTGTGGTAGACTTATGTAGGCGTATTTTTGCAAAGTCTCTTGGTAGGGACTTTCATTCTGAGGTTGGCTGTGTGACTTGCTTTGTGCAATGAAAGTGTAGCCGCTGTGATATAAGCAGAGATCTGTGGCTAGGACACTGTCATAGAATAGGCACATTTGGTCTCTGTGCCTAGTTCCTAACACACAACTTATTAAAAAAAAATACTTGAAATCTCTAGAGTGCTAAGAGTGTTTTTTGTATGCTAATGAGATGACTAATAGCTGGGACCCCTACACAGCTTCAGGAGTGGGGCTGGTCATCAGAAAAATCAAGGCATGATGACTAGAGGATTGGGACTTTCAGTCCCACCCCCCCCCCCAGCTTCTGGTTAGAACTGATCACTACAGGCCAATGATATCATCATTGGTATTTATATAATGAAGCCTTCATAAAAACCCAAAAGAAGGGGCTAGGAATGTAGCACAGGGGTAGAGCACTTGCCTAGATGGAATAAGTGCTAGATTTGATTCCCATCACTGTACAAAACAAAACAAACAAGCCCCCAAATAACAGGGTCTAGATGAACTTCTAGATGCTGAATACATGGAGATGCCTGGAGGGAGGTGCATGCCCAGGAGGCAAGGAGCTGTTCACCCCTTCCCCATACCTTGCCCTAGATGTCTCTATACATGGCCATTCATCTGTATCCTTTGGAATATCCTTTATAATAAATGGAGGTTAGAGTTTTGATCTAAAATGTCACCCAAAGGCCTTTATGTGAGAGGCTTGGTTCCCACCCTGTGGTGTTATTAGGAGATGGCAAAAACTTTAAGAGGTGGGGGTCTAGGGGCAGGAAGTTAGGTTACTGAGCACATGCCCTTGAATGAGACATTGGGACCCTGGCCTCTTTTGGTCTCCCTTGCTTCCCTGCTGCCATGAGGCAAACAGGATTCCTCTACCTCATGCTCCTCACCATGATGTACTGCCTGGCCACAGGTTCAAAAGCAAGCATGAAATGATACCCTCTGAAACCATGAACCAAAATAACCCTTTTCCCTTTACACACTGATGACCTCAGGTAGTTTGTCACATGAATGGAAAGCTAACACAATAGGTAAATGTAAATAAAGTACTCAGGGTTCTATGAGGTTACTCTAGCAAATTAATGAAACTTAAGGAGAAGGTTGTGGAAACTATGATTTACAGTTTCCACAGTTGTATAGTTCCCAGGTATCAGAAGCACAGGTTGTAACCCAGGATTTGAAACTGGCATCTAAAGTGGGGGCTGTCTTTTGGGACTGAGCCTTCAATCTGTGGGATCTGATGCTACCTCCAAGCAGATGTGTCAGAAATTGAATTGTTAGAGGACATCTATCTGGTATCCACTGGAGGATTTCTTGGTGTGGGGGAACAAAACCCCCCGTACATCTGGTAACAGTGTTGAGTGGATAAGGAGAGAGAAAAAGCAGTTAGAATTTTCCTCTTACGATGGCTCATCACTTCTGCTTCTGCCATGAAAAATCATGCCCCTAAGGCTGTTCCTTCTAGGTTGACTAGAGAAAACCTGAATCCATCCCACCAACTGCAGCCAAGTGTAGCTGAACCCTACTTAAAATGGGCTGAACCCCAGACACACCACACATCTATGAGCAAGAAATAAATGCTCACTAGTGTAAGATATTCAGTTCCAGAGGCTCTTCCTGTAGCATCACTGTGGCTATAGCTGAGATGACTGGAGCCACAAGACACTTTCATATGCTAACAATCAACCTTTGCCCTTAAGTGAGCTTGAAAGTTTTTTTTTAACTTGCAACTAATATAATCGTTCTACTGCTTGGATCAATTTATATGCTTCCTAAATCTAAAGAAACTCAGCAAACTAAAGAGAAAAAAAAAAGCAGATTCTATCATAATTTGCATCTTACCATTTTCTTGTCTGAAGAGAATCCAACTGCTACCCAGCCATCTGTGTCTGCGCTCAGCTCAAATTCCACATCAGCCCCAATCATCCGGTAGCTAAGGAAGTAGTCACAGGTCTCTGCGTTACAGCCTGGTTTCCCATATCTAGAGGATGCATCAAAAGAGACATTATTGGGCTGGGGTTGTAGCTCAGCAGTACAGCACTTGTCTAGCACGTGTGAGGCCCTGGGTTCGATCCTCAGCACCATATAAAAATAAATAAAATAAAGGTATTGTGCCCATCTACAACTAAAAAAAATAATGAAAATTTAAAAAGAGACATTATTGCTTCTGCTTGTTCACATACAGTAAAAGATAGAATGTTAAGCAATATTACTAAAAAAAAAGGTCTTTGTTTACTGGGGTTTCAAAAACAGTGTTACTCAGGAAGAACCATGGAGATGATCTGCTCCACTTTACAGACATATAAAATGAGGTCCAGAGACGGAAAGGGACTTGGCTCAGGCTGCATAATGAAATCAAGGGCAGCAACAAGATGGGAATGTAGGTCTCTAAATTTCTAGCCAGTGTTCTCTGTTATATTGTAATTTCTTAAACTTTAGGAATTACTGAATTATTTCTGAATTCCTTTAGAGGAAAAAGATTATTTAAGTTAATAATTTAAATCATTTTTTGTTAATTAAAATGTACACCAGTTCTTTTTACTTACAAATTTTTGTAGTTAAAAACAACCCAAATTTAGAAATTAAATATAGATTAAACAAACAGAAAAATCCAGGAACACTAAAATTCCCAGCATTCATATAATGGATGATGTGATTTTACTAAGAGTATACTACTGTTGTGTATGTGGTGTGTCTGACTGTACCCTGTAGGGATTTTTGAATGCAGCATGTTATTACTGCAGCCCATTACATGATGGCTCAACTCTCCAATTTATCTGTTTGACTTGCTGCAAAACCCTCACTTCTACAGTGCACCAAATGAACAAATAACTCATCTGGCATCCATTGAGCCTAAATGCATCATTGATTTATAAAATTTGCCTTTCTTCTGTTGGGCTACTTGGTGGTAATATAATTCCAAATCCAGACACTAAAACATACAGCTATAAGGTGGTTATCTCAATAGTCAGATTATGCACACCTTCTTTTTAAAGAGCATCATTGAGTTGAAAACACAAATTTAAATAGTCTTACAAAGGATATGTGGATCCTTTAAGAACCAGCAAGCCTTAGTTTGAAGCACACTATTATACCACATTCAGAATGGTAGAAAATTATAGCAACGGAGCTGGTTCAGTGGTAGATCATGTGTTTAGCTTGCACAAGGCCCTAGGTTTGATCTCCAGCACTGAAAGAAAGAAAGAAAGAAAGAAAGAAAGAAAGAAAGAAAGAAAGAAAGAAAGAAAGAAAGAAGGGGAGAGAGAGGGAGGGAGAGGGGATGGCTTGTAGCAAACTAAGCTCAGATGGCAGGTGTTTGAAGGAACAGGACACAAGGGTGCTGAATTTTGATTGAGGAAGGAAGCAAGAACAACCTAGTACACTGGTAGAAATATCCTGAGCAGTGGAGGAGAAATGTAAGATCAAGGCAACTTGGAACTGGGTTGAAAAAGATGAAAAGGGCCAAGTAAAGTTAAAGGAACAAAAAAATAAAAACAAGGGCTGGGGCTGGGGCTTAGCGGCAGAGCGCTCACCTAACACGTATGAGGCTCTGGATCCGATCCTCAGCACCACATGAAATAAATAAAATAAAGGTATTGTGTCCAACTACAATTAAAAAATAAATATTAAAAAATTTAAAAAAGTCACTCTTAAACCATCAGGGTGCTAAAGTTCCATTCCTTCTCAAAAGCATCCCCTAATCACCAGAAATTGTATATTACTAACCATCTTCCTCAATACTAGCAGTTTAGATTTTTAAAAGGTAGATTTGAAATGAGTTTGTAATCCAAAGAAAGCTCCCGTATTCATTGTTTTCCCCTTAGACCTTGAACTCTGAAAAACCACCAAATCAGAACCTCAGTGCAGTGACCATTAAAACCCTAATAAAGGTTTTTAATAGTTTGTTTCAGGAAGCAAAGGGTTCAAAGAGAAAGCTTTTCCAACAAGGCAGCACTGACTAGATGAGAGGTCTGCTATGCACACCACAGTTTTTTAGCCTAACACAATGTGTCTTGGTGGAACACCCCTAAATAATCATGTGGGCACTCACCGATGCCTGAGTGGCAAGCTTACTACAATAATCAGTGCTCAGTGACTAGTTAGCCCTATGTAGAAACCTACAAGTCACGACTATTTATTTGGAAAGGAATTGGGTATTAGATACTTCTATCATTGCTTGATCTGCCCACAGCTCCTACTGAATAAGCATAGACATATTTTGTGTCATGTGAATCTCCCCATTACAGCCTATTGATGAGAAATAGACACTGGGGTCACGGCAGAAATGGAGAACCAGAAATGGAGGTCCAGTGACTAGTGCATGCTAGAGTTAAAAAGCTTTTAAACACCGAGTGGCCACTAGAAACACCATAACTCTAGAAAACACCATAACGGCGGAGGGCAGTGGTGAAAGCCTATAATCCCAGTGGTCTGGGAGGCTGAGGCAGGAGAATCATGAGTTCAAAGCCAGCCTCAGCCACAAAGAGGTGCTAAGCAGCTCAGTGAAACCCTAACTCTAAATAAAATATTTAAAGTAGTGCTGGGGGTGCTGGGATTGTGGCTCAGTGGTAGAGCGCTTGCCTAGCATGTGTGAGGCACTGGGTTCGATTTTCATCACCACCTAAAAAATAAGTATATTATGTCCATGTATAACTAAACAAATTTTTTAAAAAATAGTGTTGGAGGTATGATTGCTCCATGGTTGAGTGCCTCTGAGTTCAATCCCTGGTACCACCCCCCGCCCCCGAAAAAAGGAAACACCATAACATTGTAGAAATTATGAAAGGATATGGGCTCCTGATTGGAATAAATTGCATGCAATTTAAATACTACCTTGAGAAGTAAATATAGTTCTTAGACTTAAGGTCATATTTTTCTACCAACCTAAAGCATCCCTTAGTTTTCCCACAGTCTTCCACTTTGATTTTGGCAAATGGATCCACAGGAGGAGCGGTCGGAAAAGCGTAACCTGGAAAGTGAGAAAAAATAGAGATTAGAAAATCCAATATCAACTTTTTCAATGAGAATTAAAAAAATAAATAAAATAAAACTTTTTCTCGCCCACGTCTGATGTGGGCGGTAGAATTTGGGTTTCCTCTGCATGGAGTGAACTGGCTACAATAGAAAGCTAAGAAAAGAAGGCAGCAAAAAAAACCCCAGACTACATAGAAAGTAATTTTGGAAAGCGGGGGTGGGACAGCTCTTTGACCTTAGAGGTCAAGCTTCCACACTGGGAAGACAGAGCCCACGAGAGCCACGTTTGCTTTATTCTATATGGGGGAAACTTCAAAGGTTTTCCATAGAATGTTCTTCTGCCAAATAAGATAGGAGGTGAGCTGTCCAGGTCTAATGGGTTACACCCAATTCCAGAGCTATAAGAGCTGCCCCACTAGTAGAGAGAGGGCTGAGAACTCACACCTTGGGCAGTCTACACACGGGAATGCTGGGATCCTTCCCAAGGGGAGACCTAAGTCCCCCATGGCTTAGCACCCAGTAAAAGACCACTCAAGAAGCTTCCTAGGTGGCTCCCCACAAGTTTTGACTATTTTCCATTGCGTATGCCTAGCAATGGCTGGGGACTCACAAAGGGCTTTGACTAAGCCTAATCTTGCTCCCTGGGGGTCAGCACAGGGTATGCACCTCTGGATTCAACCTTACATAGCATCTGGGAATGGGTGTTCTCTTTTCTCATTTAAGGAACTGGAGACACTGAGCAGGGGCATAATTCCATAGAACCATTGGCTTACCACTGTCCCTTGGGAGTTTGAAAACCACAGTTCTAATTCAGTACACATTCTCTAAAAGAGACAAAAACATCAATACTACCCTTCCATTTTCGATAGTAGGATTTTTCCACTTAAATACATGAAAATAGGATTTTTCCATTCCATTTCTCTGAATTGCTATTTTGCCTTAAGCTGTATATAACACTTCCAGAGATCCTCTAAATCCCTTAAAGATGGTTCCTAGCAATTGTGTATCTTTGTTATAAAATTACTTACTATTATAATACATCAATGACATATGAAAGATGAGGCCACGGCAAGGCCTGCCTTCAGTTTATAACCAGCCTCCTAGGCTGAGTACTTCACACGGGAGCTCTGTGGGATTCATCCTGTGTTTTCTGTCCAGCCTAGTGTTTGACCCTGGACACTGAATAAATGATTGTCAAATGATGTAATAAAATCACCCACTCATATTAGGTAATGTAAATAAACATAAAAATTATTAGTTTTTCCTCCATTGTACTGCTTTTTTAAATGAAGTTTAGTTTTATTTTATTCCATTTTTATTACTTTATTGATTGGGAGTATAGCCCACATCTAAGCAATTTTTGCGACCTCTAAGCAATTAGGTCACAGGCATTACTTGTTGCTAGTTGAATGTCTATTTTGTGCTAAAACCTATATCTATTTGAACACAACAGAGGAGCTCTGCCTTGACTGAGTTTTTTTTTTTTTTTTTTACCCTAATATTTATGGAGCAGTTGTTCCATGCACCTTCATCTGTGTTCTTCCTCTTACTTCTCACCACAGTCTTGAGGTCATTTTTTTTTTCCTTAGAATATTTACCTAGGAATGCAGGTGACTCACAAAAATGACCTTTTTAACTTTGCTTCTGACTCAGACTCCCTATCTTCTTTCATTTTTTTTCAACATAGCACCCTTACTACTTCCCACTGAATAATACATTGGTATATGGAAGATTCCTAGCTCAATAAATGCTAGTTTTTGGATTATTATTACCATTATATTTTGTAAACTGAACTGAGAACTAATAACCATTGGGTAATGCTGTCTTTTTAAAAAATTTGGCTTCTGAACTCCAAATAAAAGCAAGGTTATTTTTTGTGTGTTTGTTTGTTTGTTTTCTTTTTGACATCAGGGATTAAACACAGGGGCGCTTAATCACTGAGCCACATCCCCAGCCCTTTCTAAATTTTATTTTGAGACAGGGTCTCCCTGAGTTGCTGAGGCTGGCTTTGAACTTGCGATCCTCCTGCCTCAGCCTCCAGAGCCCCTGGGATTAAAGGTGTGCACTACTGTGCCTGGCAAAAGCAAGTTTTGCAACAAAACTCACACATATGATCTAAACTGATTTATTAGTATTGGCAAATAGTTTCTCTAGCAGTAAGTTTCTATCACCTTGTATGCCTCTAAAACTTGGAATGAGAACTGGTATTCTGTCAAATGCACTTGTACATCCATTCAATATCACTTTTTTCCCAGTACTGGGGATGGAACTCAGGATCTTATGTATGCTAAGCACACACTCTACCACCGAGCTACACTCCTAACCCCTAGTAACTTATTTTTATCTTGTTTTATAGGTTGCTGAAAGATAATTTGGCTTTTGTCTCTGGTTCATGGGAGACAAACTCTAAATCCTTAGACGTTTCCAAGTAATACGAGTGTCTCTGGTATTCATGAACCCGTTGGATCACACCTGAATTTGTGCTAAGAGATGATATGACTCAGGATGGAAGTTGACCACCAGAAAGACTAATATCCGATTAAAAAAAAATTGGAATTTGGACTCCTCCCCACCTCTGAGGAGGTAAGGGGGACTGGAAATTCAGTTTTATCTCATTCCCACAAAGTGAAACCCCAATAAAATTTCTGGACACTGAAGCTCAGTGGAGCTCCCTGACTGAACACATCGATTGTTGGCAGGGGGTGTTAGCTTTCTATGGTCAAGGCCAAACTACCTCAACAAAAATAATTTAGAGAAGAAAAAGTTTCACACTTTCATAGTTATAGTCTGTAGTCAGCCAAACTCCATTGCTCTGGGCCCAAGGTGAAGCAGAACACCTTAGTGGAAGGGCAAGGGAAAGCAGCTCCGGGCATGTCAACCAGGAAGCAGAGGGAGCTTGCATGCAGAAATCCAGGGACAATATCATCCTCAAGGCACGCTCCCAGGGAACTACTTCCTCCAGACATGCCCTACCTGCCTACAATTACCAACCATGAATCCATTCAAATTATTAATCCATCAAATGGATCCATTCACTGATTAGGTCACAAGTCTCATCAGCTGATCATCCCATCTCTGAACATTCCCACATTGCTCCACACATGAGTTTTTGGGGGACACTTCATAACCAAACCGTAACTGAGGGTAAACATGCTGATTCCACCAAAAACATGGAAACTGGATTTGGGAGCCAGCCAAACTTCACCCTCAGTGTCTCTCCATAGGTGGTCCTGAGTGGTATCCTGGATGACAACACTGTAAGTATGGTGCTTCGCTAAATTCCACGAGACAGAGTTATAGAGCCTGAGTCATGGCAGTGTGGAAAGCCCCTGCATTTATGGCTGATCAGTTTGACGTGTGGACTGTCTTCTTGTAGCCCATGACCTTTTTAACCTGTGGGGTCTGTACTCTCTAAGTAATACCAGAAAGAAGTTTGCTGATGAATTTTGGTATTAGAAAAGTGGAGCAGTATTCCAAATTTTTTTCCTGAACTTAAATGATCACTCACTATTTGGACTAAATTTGGACTAAGTGCCTGGGTCTAAACTCTTGCCTGTGGGCTATAAACCACCTTCCACAGGCTGAGCACCATGCAAACTTCCCTTGCCAGCTGCTAAGGCACGCTGACAGGTCGCATGTGAGGGAGGAAGGAAAGAGGACTCTTCCTTCCAGTTAGGCTGCCGTTCCAGAAAGCAAGTCCTCAGTAACCTTGCTCCATCCTTACAGTGGCAGGTGGTTTGAGTTCCCAGCTTTGTGCTAGATTTCCAAAAAAAGCCCCAGAACCCTGCTCAAAACTGTCAGCAGCTGGGCAGAGCCCCATTCTTGAAAGCTGGTAGCATCTCTGGGAGGTCCCTTGTCTGAGCATCCAGGTTCTGAGAACCCCAAGCCTTTCTCTTGGTCCCCAGACCCAGGGGTGGTGGCTGCTTCTTCTGGTTACTTTCTCTCTGCTCTCCTGCTGCTCCCTTGATGCTTCTTCAGTCCTCCCAGCTCCTACTTAGCTCCTAGCACTAGTGACCCTGCTAAAATAGCTAGTGTGATTTCTGTCTTTCCGACCGGACTTTAATACCCACAAAATGGATTCATTCTTGAATTCTGATACAATGCATCTGCCCAGACTGTAGCTTATTAGCAGCTATTATTTCAAAGGCTTCTGAATAATGATACTCAATAGAATCTACATTTGACATGCACTATACAATTCTAGTAGTAAATTATTTTGATTGTGGGTTTTTAAGTGCCCAGGAGCACAGAATTAAATTGCCATTTCTTGGCTTGTGAAACACTCATGATCACTTTATGCAAAGGCCATCTTATATTTTTCCTTGATCCATTCCTAACCTCATTTTCCTCCCTTAGACTGAGTATGGTATAATACCTGCATATCCTTCTGACCAGGAGGAAGATCTTAACAAAAAATGAACACTCTGACCCACATATCTGAAAAAGATATTTTATCACAGTAAAAATCTCTTACCAGGAAAACCTGAAAGGACACATCAGTAATAATGGATTCCAGACAATCCAGAGCTGGAGGGTATGCTCTTTGTCTCCACGAAGCCCAGAACTCTGCCTGTGCAAGGTTGGAATCTTCCAGGTTGCAAAACACCTTTCATATCCCCAGCACCACCACCTTTGAACTCTTGCATGATCGCCCTATAAGATATCACCCAAGCTGCCAGCCCAGAAGTAGCTCTAAAGTGCAGATTCTGGGCATAGACAATTTCTCACTCTGCCTACAGCACCACTGGGCCACTCTGTCCACAGGTGTGCTGCATTGGCCATCCCATGGCCACACACAAGTCTGGAAATACCCCAGCAGGGCAGACTAGTGAGGGCCCACCCCAATTACCATTCACTGTCCATGCATTTCTTGTTATGTATATGTGCTTTTAAAAATGTAATATTTCTATTTCCATTTGTGATCTGCATAAATGACACACAACAGTACGGCTCATCATTCTGTTTAATATTTCCCCTTGAAAATCTACCTACATG